TCTTTTCTTTTCTTTTCTTTTCTTTTCTTTTCTTTTCTTTTCTTAATTCTTTCACTTTCATTCTTTATCGCACTATCTTGTCTCAGTTTCTAGAATTCAATACACTCTTTCATTGTAGTTTCAAAATATGTCTGTATTTGAACTTGGCAAATGAGTTTGAGATAACGATTTTATTTTATTGTAGGTGTTGTGCCTTCACATTAAGAGATTTAGGTGGTGCAATTCCTATCGTTCGAAGGTGGACACACAGGTAGATTTCCCGATGAAATCGCTTGATATGTCTGCATTCACGGTGCGTGGCGTGAATGGAACGAAATTGGGCGCTTCGAATAGTCATCTGTACGACTTAGCTGCCGTTATTGTACATCACGGTTCAGGGTATGCTTCAACGTCCATTTTTTTATGTTAATTTCATATACAAATTAGGATCTGGCTTGTTCGTTCAATCTCTTTCAATGTACGTATAATTTTATATTTCCATTCAAACTTATCGAGCTAGATGAAATTTGTAACTTGTACGTCGTCGCAATCTATTTTAAGATGACTGACAGTAACGCGACCATAAACTAAACATACGTATATCATATTTATTTGTACGGGGAAAAAAAAAGATCAATGAATTTTATCAGACTTGCAATCATTCCATCTCTTTTACACTGTAAAACCAACGTTTTTCATCTATTGTACAATGAGAATAAATATTGGAATATCCATTTTAGTGCCGGAACTGGACATTACACTGCCTTCGCTGTTCACGACGGACAATGGTTTCACTTTAACGATAGCTCTGTACGACCAGCAACCACGGACGCGGTCGCCAAGTGTAAACCTTATATTCTGTTTTACGTGCGGAAAGAATTCTCCATTCCACCTCCTTTGTGACGTCGTTTCCCCAGCCAGTCCCGTCCTGATGGTGCGAGCTTCGACGACGATGACGATGAGCGAATGAACAAGAAGTAAGCGAAATTTAAACGAAGCGAAGTTGAAACGGCCAGACGGAAGAAACCAGAAAAAAAGACCCACGCGAGCATTTCAATGTTTCTAAAAGAGGAAGGAAGAGAACGCCCATTTTGTTTTCCAGCGAGTTTTGTTTTCCGGCATTGTTTTCTTCTCTGGAAAGTGCCGATCACTCAACATCGTACAGTAGTAGCTAAACTCTACAACGACTAGCACGATGTACGAGTATGATATTTATACTTCTATCCTCGTGGTCGTCCGAAGCGAAACCAAACTGGTCAAGTGTTCGCGAATGAGCGACGATTAAATATTTTTTTATGTAATACATACGTGTTTCGTTTCTATTGATTTGAGTTCCTTCGTGAAACGTATCTCTGATTTCTTTTCTTTTTTTTTTATTTTTTATTTTTTTTCTTAAGTAGTTATCAATCGTACGACATAAATTAATCGGCAGATAAATAATCTCATCACAAACGCACGCCGTTCACATATTCGATTAGTTGTTTCTGTATACGCACGTGTACATATAGGGAGGTGGTACACCTCCTTACGTGAATCGAGAGCTTCCTCTCCTTTTTTAGAAACGAAGGTAGAACGAAGAAGAAAGAAAGAAAGAAAGAAAAAAAAGAGGCGAAGAGCGAGAGAAGGAAAGAGCGTACTCTCGAGGCAGATCGCAGAAACGCGTTGCCTTTAAAGTTGATTTTCTTTGTGCTCCTTTTCGCTGGTCTCTCGGTGGTCGTTGACCACCTCTCTTCATCGAATCGATTAAAGCTCCTCCCGGCCGTATAGCGGAATAACGCGTAATGCGTACCTCGTATATATAGTTTTAAAGCGAAAACGACTGGTCTTCTCGGTAGATAGATTTTTTTCTAGGCATAGAGAGCGACATCATCGTTATTTCGAAGGAGCTGGTAAAACGGAAACACCATATAAAGCCAACCAACTCTGTTACTTTGAAAAACATGTTACCTTCGTCCTCTTGGATACTTACACACACGGCACGCGGATATGTGCATGTACGACACACGATACACACGGACACGCGCACACACACAATTATCGTTCGAGCATACACGAATCGTTTACATGTGTGTTGACAAAATACACGTATGTATGCATGTACGTATACAAACACGTTCTCTCGTATATCCCGCCCCCCCTCCTTTTTCCCTCCCCACCCCCCTGCGATTCTCGACGGCTCGACGACTCTTATGTGATTATTTAAAGACTTATTTTTTCTATAATGGTAACGATAATAACGATAATAAGTTAAAGAATGCGTAGCGAAAGAACGTTTTATTAAGGCGATAACCTCGACAAACGCGCATCTTCAGCAAAGATTCACTCGTATGCAAAGAAACGAGAG